TTATACCAAAAGAAGTTAAAAGGCGGTACTTGTTGTTACCTTGCCTAGCGCTCGGCATTGTAAACTGCGGCATGTACCTCAGGGGGCTAGTACTATAAAATCGGCATTAGTCCGGACTAGTACAAGCACACACACACACACACACACACACACACACACACACACGTGCATGGACGTCGCTATATAAGTGCAATTATCTTAAACGCGACGTTAAACCCCACTTCACCTCCAAGAAGCGCCGCCATTGTCGAAACGTCCGTATATCATCATGCCAATGTCATACATTTCAGAGTGTCATTACAGGTCATAAATCATATTTAACACTCAGGTCATGCGCATGTCACCTGTCAGTCTTATCCGTCACATGTCACGAGACGAACTATTGTCACGATGAGGTAGGTACCCTCGGGCTGAAGCTAAGAAAAGAATGTCACAATGCATGCCTTTCAATAATGTCGTACTTGAAGAGGTATGTATGGTGATTAATGAGACTGGGGTCATATTTATATATATCTTACTTTAGCTGAACAAGATTGTAAACGACTGCATGACGGAGTTAATTCTATTGATTTTCTTCAATCGTGAATCAACAGGACACTCATACTAAGATATATGCCTAACGCACGTGAATACGTACGTTAATCAATTTACCATGATCATGGCACCAAGCGAAATGGGTTGAGAATGTCTCTAAAAATTTAAATGGAGGCATCGCAAAACACATGTTTGGTGACTAAACTACCCGACACATTGCTTTGGCTGTGTTCATACAGTGAACCCTCGATTATCTGAACGATGGCATTCCCAATGAAATCGTCCAGATTAACAAGTATTCGGATTAACGAATTATTGTTACGGAGTAATCTCGTTAATATATTTTAAGATGTCTGTAACAGTAATTGCCCGGATAGTGGAGTTTCTGGACTAATGAGGTTTCGCTGTATATAGCCAGCACATGTTTACAACACGAGGCTATAGTTTAAATAGAAATATGTAAGACGTCAGGCTAACACGTGCTTGACAACTGGCTCGCCAGGATATAATTTTCATAACAGTCAAATAAGAACCGCCAGCCATTGAAACTGTTTAGGCTGGCGATCATATTAGAGGTTAGATAGCCTGTGTTTAGGAAGATAGTACAATTCAGTGCAACAAGTTATATATGAACACCGACAGCTTCTTCTGTTCTAGCCTCAGACCAAATACATCTGCTTATTTATATAGAGGGCGCACCATCTATATACTGTTCGCCGACGGCTAAGACAAGGCTCTCTCGTGTCGGGTTTAGCTGGAAACATCCAAACAATCAAACTACGGTAATAATTGTAAGTAAGATTCCGCCTCGCCCCTAAACACATCATTCAGTTACAGTAAACTACGGTTATAACGAACTCAAAGGGACTACTATTTTTAGTTCGTTATAACCGTAGGTCATTATAAGCATATATACAGCACAACTACAGCAAATAGTCGAGACTAAAAAGTTAGTTCGTTATATCCGTCAGTTTGTTATAAGCGTGTTCGTTATAACCGTAGTTTACTGTATATTGTCAGCGGTATTGTTGTGAGAACACGGATGTCGTTCGTGGGATGGAAGGACCCTGGCTTATCTGTTCCGTGCGGTCGCTGTAATTGTTCAGGTGGTTATCAGAAGGTGTTTGCGTTGAGAATGTATCATAATCTCTTGTTATTATCACGTGGAAGATTAGCATATCAGAAGAGGGTGGTTGAATAACCCTGAGGACGGGTCGATAGGAGCCAGCGGATAACGCCATCTTGGACGGTCAGAGGTTAAAGTACTTAGCGTATGTTTACATATCAAGTGAGATGGCTGGTTATAACGTTAGGAAATACGCGGCGTTCCTGTTAAATGATTCATGTGAGTTAATAAATACACCTGTAACCGAATCTCCGAATTGTTAACTGATTTAAATATCACGTGGGGTAAGAAGTAGTATTTGAAGCCAATAGCAAGATGTATTTTATTGCGCGTATGGATTCATCACATTGTCTTACGTGCAGGATAGCCAATAGATAGGTGATGCGTACTAAGCATGGGTCGCTTACGAATGTGAAGTAAGTTTTTATAAAGACCGTTATAAAGATCTTATTCAGTCTACTTTGTCAATTTACATGATTATCTCACCCGTGAAGATCCGTGAATAGGTCTTCAGCAACCCATGCTTGCCGTAAAAGGCGACTAAAGGGATCGGGTGGTCAGGCTCGCTGACTTGGTTGATGCATGTCATCGTATCCCAATTGCGTGGATCGATGCTCATGATGTCAATCACTGGATTGTCTGATCCAGACTCGGTTATTTACAGACCGCCGTTATGTAGCTTGAATATTGCAGAGTGCGGCGTTAAGCAACAAACAAACAAACAAACAAACAACATGATTATATCATCGGGTGAATGAGTAATATTTATATTTTAATGGCTACGTGTTTAAGAGATGAAATAACACAGGTTTTTTAAAGACGGTACGATTATTCCATTAATCGTATGCTCAGTTTTACTAAAAGGGTTCCCTAAATTTCCATGAGTAATTTCTATTTCCCTTAAATTGCCAACCCTATCACAGAGCTGGAACTGCCGAATATTATATCGCGTGACATGTTTTCGACAACTGGTGAGGACGAAGAAAATCATTATGAAATATAATTTCGCATCATATCTATCAGTTCTTTCATGATTCAACACGGTTTTGAACAGATAGAACACAAAATAAGTTTTAAGACATCATTGTCCGTAAGTCACATACGCGGGGACACTTATCAAGGCGAAATGAAATCTTCCCATTCGCCTGTAACGTAACTCTGAGTAACGTTTAACTTCATAACGTCAATTTTCAACAAAGTCTATACACAAGCCATACGACATGGCGTGGAGCTGGCTCCATCTGTCATGGTAAAGCTCCTCTCTAGTTTTGTCATGCTACACTGAATGGAAACTGGCCGAGCCCGGGGCGCCTCCTGCCGCCTACAGCAGCCTGACAGATGTACACACTAAACCCCGTGCCACTGACATGCTTACAGCCAACAATTAACGCAACGCCTACCACATTCTCAGAAATGTTGCTGCCCTATTTAGAACCATCTGTAAATACAACCTTGATTTGTATTTGATGTTTAAATAATTATGTATATGTATATGAATGTCAAAACATCTTGAAAGGAAATATTTGACGTTACTTACGTGGACGACTACGCTAGACTGCGATCCAACGTCACAACATTGAACGTACATTTCACTTAGTGGGTGAACGACGTGATTTTCCATCTTTTAGCTGACGTTAGGTTTGGGACGGTAACGTCATCGATCGTAGCCCTTGTATCATTCAATATTTACATCAATAGGTCACTTACTAGTGAGTGAGTGAGTTTGGTTTTACGCCGCTTTTAGCAATATTCCAGCAATATCACGGCGGGGGACACCAGGAATAGGCTTCACACATTGTACCCATGTCGGGATTCGAACCCGGGTCTTCGGCGTGACGAGCTAGTCTACCCGACCGCCCCTCACTTATTAAGGTGCACACTACGCAAAGCGCATAAGGGGTGGTGGGGTAGCTTAGTGGTTAAGGTGTTCGCTCGTCACGCCGAAGACCCAGGTTTGATTCCCCACATGGGTACAACATGTGAAGCCTATTTCTGGTGTCCCCCGCCGTGATATTGCTTGAATATTGCCAAAAGCGGCGTCAAAAAATATTCACTCACTCACTCAAAGCGCATACAATTACCCTAGTCAAGGAATGAGTCATTTCAACCCGTGTGACATTAATACCCCAGTCGGCGGATCAGAGTTCATTCAAATTCCATTCTCAGCTCCCTGGGGAGTGTACAATTCCCTTGCTTTGATTACAGTTGAAAATTACGCATGTATTACGTAGATGCGACCGCACGTGACTTTTTGTCGTCACGGAGAATTATTCTTTATCACGACACCTCAGGGAAAGGATACAGCGAGGACATGGCAGCACCCGCGAGTCTGCCTACACGCTGTATGGTCCTGCCCGCTTCAACACGCTGCATGCAGGCATGCGGGGATGATACCACATTCCTCGTAACAGCATCCCAGATAACCGGCATCAGCCATTTTGTTCAGCTCTGTTGCACAACACCGAACATTGATGCTCACCAACTCATAACTCAACGCTTTATTAATAATTTATATATTTTAGAACCCTTTGTTCCTTGTGATAATTTACACGTCCCAGTAACAAAGATGACTTCAAAACTGGATAGTATTACGCGATTTTAACATGCAAGGGCGGGACTGACTGTATAATTACATTTTGTTATTGGACATATACATAATACATATACTCTTCATCTTGTTAAGAGCGGTTTCTTGTTCCTTGTTCAGACACTTATAAACAAGGAAATGCTCACGTTATACCATGACAAGAATAATTTGCGGTAACATATAGAAAAGAAATATTCGTTTTTTTAAACTATCCGAATATCAGCGATGGAACTATACGAACATGAAATAGACAGACAGTATACACTGCTCATAGCGCGTGTCAAAAGTCTGCCATTGTGTAGCTAACCCCGAAGTTAGTTAGAGCTGGAGAATCAATTTCTAAGAGCACTAGAAAGTTGCTGTTTTCACCGCCCCGTTTCCAATCGATGGAACGCTGGCTCGTGCCACCATCAAGGGGGTCGGGGAGGGGGAGAGACTTACTGGCGGCCGGCGTCTGGATATGGGGGAGGGAGACTGGCGGGGGTTAAAAAAAACAATGCGACAAAGTCGCGCAACGTTATAAATCAATAACGACCCGTTTCAGCATTTATCAATCCTAATTCTCTGCTCTACTGGACTCGTTCCGGTGACTAATCTAGCACTGACCTAATATGAACAAACATTAACCAGTGTACCAAATAACTAAATTATTACCAACATCATTTTAAAAGCATTGGAACATGGAAATACTAAAATATATACATATATCTGAAAAAAATAACGTTAAAATTTAAAGATGGATAAAAAGCTTACCGGCTTCTGAAATGTTGATGCGCTGTGGAAGCGGTGATCCTTTAAAGGTACAATGTACTTCGACCTCGGCAGTGTACAATGTGTCATACATGTACCCACCCTTGTAAATTTTGATAACTTTTCCATAAACGAACGAATCCGAATAATACATTTTCTCTTCAATAGTAGGCTCGGTGTAGTTCCCTTCCGGGGGCGAGCATCCTAAACACATATATACATATGCGAACAAAAGTAGAGACACACTCCAGTAATGTGCGTTATTCCAAAGGCTAGCCATGCTTTCCTACTGCTGTTTCTATGAACGCGCGTTTTCACCTCCGAAGCTGTCGAGATACTTGCTTGATGTGAAGGCCGCTCGCTCTTCGGTTGTGCTGGAGGAGAGAACGCTTGGTCTATTTTTAGATGGCCAGCGGACTGAATCATATTTCAACGGAGCGCATCTGTGCCGGTATTGGGACAGCCGCGCCGATCTACGAATTATGTGGAAATTATTAAAAAAGAGTCTTTGAGCATGTTCACCCATGTCAATCTTATGGTCATTAAATATGTGTTTGAATGTCACATATGGCATATATATTTTTTTATTCAGTGTTTTTTTTTATAACTGTTTTGTTTTTTGTTTGAAGAGATGTTTTGTTGTTAACAGATTTTTTAAATCGTTGCTGATTCATGTGTATTTAATTGACGCTTGGCGTCAGTATTCTCGAGATGGATTTGATGAATGTTGATTGTACGGCGCTTCAAAGGGTACTTTCGTTTCTTGTTGCGTGATGATTGACTCAATCATTCATATACATACGAATAACACATGATGATTGCGTGATGATTGACTCAATCATTCATATACATACGAATAACACAATAGAATACGCGAATAAGAATGTGTTTTATTAAAATGATGATATCCAGAAGAAAAAAAACAAGCCATAAGTTTCCATATGTACAATTTTAATCAACATTTGAGTGAGTGAGTGAGTTGGGTTTAACGCCGCTTTTAACAGTATTCCAGTTATATCACGGCGTGTCAGCTTAATGTGGGAGGAAAGCCCGAAGTGATGCAGGTCTCAGACGTTTACCACTTCGGTGAAACCCACGAGCACGGGTATGGTGCTGACAAACCTAGAAACATAATCGGGGTGAACCGGGATTCGAACCCACAATCATAGGTTTCTGGCGTGTCAAGGGGACGCAACTCTGCACAGCGAATCGCGGCGCCTTAGACGACTGGGCCACCTGTGCCCCCCAACATTTGAGGAATAAATATGCATATGCTCTTGGGTAAAAGGTAAGCACCATTCCTTGTCTATTTTCGTTTTGGAAATATCAATACAGAAGATGAAGAAGAAGATGTATTGTACATAAACACCCACAGGGGGCAGGGTACAAAACATGCACATGACTAATTAAAAACATTGACATATACTCGTATGATATCGATTTCATTTTGATAATTGTCTGAGATGGCGAACAGTTCGAACGAGATCTTTTCAGGCACCCCTCGTGGTCCCCCAGAAGGTCGAAAGGACTGAGGTAGTAATTGAAAGAGTAATCTTGGTCCTGCGAGGGATTAATTCCATTCATTTGGCGTAAACTTGCGTTCATCGTAGAACTAAGATAGCTTTGAGAAATGGGTAACTGGCTCATCCACGAGACCCGTGAAGTTCCGGGATAGAATAAGTATTCAGCAACCCATGCTTGCCGTAATAGGCGACTATGCTTGTCGTAAGAGGCGACTAACGGGATCGGGTGGTCAGGCTCGCTGACTTGGTTGAAGCATGTCATCGATCCCAAATGCGTGGATTGATGCTCATGATATCAATCACTGGATTGTCTGGTCCAGGCAGGATTATTTACAGACCACCATCATATTGCTGGAATATTGCTGAGTGCGGCGTAAAACAACAAACCAAAACCAAAAACATAAAGCGAACTTAATGCCATGGCTAGTGTATGTCTACGTTGACATATTGGAATTGTTATAGTCATTCATCTGACGAGGGGCAGGACTTAAACCATAGAAGTCTTCTGGAGTTTAACGACCGCTTCAGATTATCCCTATTTCGCAGCAGTTTTTTCATGTTAAAAAATATCAGAGGTGCCACTGAAATATTATAGTACTCCGGCCACTTTGTGCAAGCAGGCCCGATCTTTCATAGTTTTTAGTGTATATATTTTCTAGCTGAATTGTAACCATTTAACTGAGTACGAGGCATCGATGTAGTAAATAGTGAGTGAGTATTGATTTACGCCGCATCAATAATTTCGCAGCTATTTGCGGCTTAAATGTGATTATTATGACTTCAAGACATCTTTTCGAATATTTATCGGAGGATGACACGCTTGTTTTGCAAATATCAATACATGTAGTGAGGTGAGGTGAAATGGGGTTTAACGTCGCGTCCAAGATTATTGCACTTATATAGCGACGTGCATGCACGTGTATGTGTGTGGCTGCTTGTACTAGTCCGGACTGATGCCGATTTATAGTGATAGCTCACTGAGATACCATGCCGCAGTTTAACATGAATATCCCACTCAGACACAGTATACACACATTTATATTATGGCCAGTTGCATCATGACTGGGCTTCACTAAATGTTACTACCCCGTTCTTCCGAAAAATTAACAATGATAAATGCTGGCAAAATTATGCTTGAGAATTACCTCAGCATTGTGGACACTACATTATACACACACATGACCAATGTGGGCAGTGAGTTATATATCCTAAGCCAAGTCAGCGAAAATATTTGGCCATACACCTTAACGTTTTAATATCAAGGGAAGTGATTCATTAGGACATTTAAATATCGAACACATTGTGTTTGTATGTGTAAGTTAATGAATAGCATCGTGTTTGGTCGTTGGTAATATCTCGAGAAACACGGGGTGTGAATTCAGTGTTCGAAATAAGCGCCTGCCCGTAGGTCCGTGGCAAGTAGAGCTCGAGTTGGGCCCGTAGATTCAAATTTGTATGGGTCCTTATGGCCAGCAATATGTCGATTTATTTGTCATAATAAGCTACAGTGTTTGTTGGGTTTTTTCTAAAAAATATAGCCTGAATAATTTAGTCAAGGCCTGCAGCTCCTAAAGTCTGTGGGTCCTGATGGCAGCTTGGCATTATTTTTTATGTCAAACACTGGGTGTGATATCATAGAACTCTGGTCAGGCAAACCAGTGATTAATACAGTGAGCAACGACACCGACCTCGAGGAACGATGACGCACAGCTAGTTCACAACAAGCGGTCCTCCTTCAAATGACAGCACTTAAGCAAGTATTATTCATCAAAATTTATGACCATCCGATTCCAATTTTGACTGCCTCTTGCGTCAAGCAGAGCACACCAAGAGCCAATTCTACTGCTGGGAAATACCCACTGGCGTTCACCACACCGGGTTCGAGTCCCCACGTGAGACCCACCCTTGGTGTCCCCTACAATGATATCGCTGGAAAAATGTTAAAAGCGTCGTAAAATCAAACTCACTCACTTAATCAATGACTCACTCACTGCATAAAGCCACATGTCACATATTCCTTTGTGAGACAGTATACATTGTTCAACTATTACGTATAATATTATTTAACAGTATAAAATATGTGTCCGTCAAATAAGCCCGTCAGTATATTTGTACGTTCGCGTCGCCTCGTGTCATCCTGATTGCGTGGCACCAACATCAAACAAAGCCTCATGGTACCTGTCGCTTACCTGTCTTCATTAGACAGCGTTTTCACCTGGGGGCAGGTGACCCAAACCTTGTTTCCCCTCCAGCTACACGCACCTGGAATTACCTGTCAACTCTGTTAATTGACAGGTATTTTCCCTGTGTTATGTACGTTACAGAGATTATTAAAACTGACACATGTTCAGAAAAATATTCTTCGGAAGACAAGTTGAAAGACTGCTTTGAGGTCACTTGAAAAATATTTTTGTCCTCAGACTGGCGCCCCGTGAACATCCGGGTTAAAAAAGGTCTTCAGCAACCCAATGGCATGCTTGTCGTGACTGGCGACTATAGGGACCGGGTGGTCAGGCTCGCTGACTTGGTTGATGCATGTCATCGTATCAGGGTGGATCACAACATGACGAAAGGATTCAACTTTATACGAATTGTGCAGATCGATGATCCGGATGTCAATCACTGGATTGTCTGATCCCGACTTGATTATTTAAAGACCGCCGTCATATAGCTGGAATATTGCTGAGTGCAAACACACAAACAAACAAACAAACAAATCCTCAGACAGGCAATGACTTTGGGTTTAACGCCGCTTTTAACATTATTCCAGTCAAATCATGGCGTGTCAGCTTAATGTGGAAGGAAAGCCCCAAGTGATGCAGGTCTCAGACGTGAACCACTTCGGTGAAACCCACGAGCACGGTATGGTGCTTACAAACATAGAAACATAATCGGGGCGAACTTGGATTCGAACCTACAATCATAGGTTTCTGGCGTGCCCAAGGGACGCAACTCTGCACAGCGAATCGCGGCGCCTTAGACGACTCGGCCACCCGTGGCCCCTGTTACGTTTTTAAGACATACACAAACACAAAGTATGATAACAAAATTGTATTGTCCGTGCAGGAATTGTTGGTACAGCACTGGAGAGAGAGTGCAAACAAACAACATGTTGTTAACAGCGGAAAGGTTAAAGAGTTGGTGGTAAAGGGCAGATCACAATGAAATAAACACTACATTTATGAAGGTGACTTTCAGTGTTATTGTGACCCGTCAACATCCGGGTTAGTATTGGTCTTCAGCAACCCATGCTTGCCGTAAGATGCGTCTAACGGGATCGGGTGGTCAGGCTCGCTGACTTTGCTGATGCATGTCATCGTGTCCCAATTGCGTGGATCGGTGCTCATGATATCAATCACTGGACTGTCTAGGTACAGACACAATTATTTACAGACCGCCGTCATATAGCTGGAATATTGCTGAGTGTGACGTTAAACAACAAACAAACAAACACTGTTTTTGTACATGGAGTGACTGTAACAACACTGACAACAAAACACCAACAAGAAACAAAAGCAAAACAACACGCCATTAGGATCAGTAACAGTGACTAAATTTTAAACTATATCAAACTCTTTTCTTAAAGAAACCTCCATTTCTCGACAACGCCCTTATACGGTAGCTCTTCAATTGCATTCGGTAACTTGGGCTAGAATCCCGTTCTATTACGCGAAACACATTTTCCAAAAGCTCCGAGAAGTCTCGAGTTCCAGTGGCAGAAGTCTACTTGGATGGGAGCTGTTCGGTCTTCCTTGGAGAGTGATCTATGATGTGTATACTTGCTCTTTGTGTGAAGTCGTGTTGTCTGAGTTAGATACTTGAAGGATAAGACGGTAAGATGT